GGACATGCAGCGAGCTGTCCTCAAGGAGCCTCTCCAGAGAGGCCATATGGAATCCAAGCATGTTGAAACAGTCCATCAGGAGCAGGTAAGGCAGCAATTCACCTCCTATCTTCTATTTGTCAAAGCTTGCTCCATAGAGTGAGCCCCCCACACTTCTGGGTTGTGTTACCCAGCCCCTGCAGAGAGTTTCTTGGGAAGCCAGAGCTTTAACAGGTCCTTCAGATCAGACCTCTACCCCAGCGCTGTAGCAGCTCCTGCCCTGATGAGCTATGTGGAGGCCTTGCCGAAGATCAGCCCTCACCCCTGGGAAAGCATGAGACAATCAGTGGTGTTGGGAGATGGGTCTTCCAGACAGGGCCTGGGCTGTATGACTTCAGGAATCCCTGGCATAAGCCATCACTGGAGACGCATGACAGGTGGCTAAGGCCTGGGTCAGGTGGGGCTGGCAGATATGCAGAGGCCCAAAAACTGGGTCTGGAACAATGGACTAAAGTTAATATACTGCAATATAATGAGTCACAATAAATACATATTTCCCGGGTATACTTGGTCTTCATCCACAGTTCCTGAAAACACTGCAGGGTCTTAAAGGTGAAATGGGTGTCTTGTCATGTTAATGAGGGACTTTTGGACTCCCTCACCCCCACCCCTGCCTCTGGACCCAAGGCCGGTGCCTGAAAGTTCAATCAGCCAATAGCTAATAATTTAGTCAGTCAGAACTATGCAATGAAGCCCTCACAAAAACCCCAGAGAAGAGTTTATCAGTGTCTGCTCTCTGGGATTCTGCCTCTGTGTTGGCAACAGCTTCCATGCTTGGGGAACCAGAACACCTACACGTGCCACCAAGCCAGGCTCCAAGCTCCACGAGGATAGAAGCTCCTTTATTTGGGACTTTGCCCTATGCATCCCTTCATCTGGCTGCTAACTTGTATCCTTTAAGGTATCCTTTATGAAACTGGTAAACCTAAGTGTTTGCCTGAGTTCTGTGAGCCGCTCTAGCAAATTAATTAAACCTAAGGGGGAGGTTGTTGGAACCTCCAATCCGTAGCCAGTTGGGCAGAAGCACAGGTAACTGCCTTGCACTTGCGACCGGCATCTGGGGTTGGGGGTGGAGGGCAGTCTTGTAGGATGGAGCCCTTAACCTGGGGAATCTGGTGCTGTCTCCAAGTAAAAAGCATCAGAATTGTGTTGAGTCCTCAGACACCCTACTGGTGGAGAATTGCTTGGTGTTGTGTGGGTGGGAAGCACCCAACATTAGAGTTGGGTCCAGGAACCCAAAAGGAGTTAGGCAGCTCACCAATGCATACACCATCTAAACTAAAAGAATAATTTAATTTTTAAGAATATTCCACAGATATACTCAGGAAACTTCAAATAAACAATTTCTATCCATTAAATCTTTTCATGTGGTGATCTCACCCAACCTTTACATAATGAACAAGTTCAGATCTGTAAGGTTTAAGTACTGGGTCAGGTCAAGATGTGTGTGGGCAGCTCCCTAAAGAAAACAGACTTGGCATATCTAAGTAATGCTGTCCTCTGAACAGATCATGGAGTTAATTGATGATCCATCCATCATGGTAGAGATATAACTCTTCAGAAAACAATAAATTCTAGTTAAAATTCAAAATCTAAAGACTCTCTCCAATCCTGCCCTATGAAATGCCAATGCAAACATGTTACAGTTCAGGGGAACTGAAAAAGCTCAACTCAGTATTTTATAATGGTATGTATTTTTCTTTAGAAAATATACTGTTTACTGTGTGCTTTATCTTATTTAATCTTCATAACCAATGCACATATTACTGTATCCATTAAATATGAGGAAACTAAGGCACAAAGATGTAAATAATCTGCCCATGGCCAGCAAAGTGGTAGGGCCAGTATCTGAACTCTGGTGGTCTGATCCTAGAGCCCCATACTCTCCATCAGTCATTCAACAGATATGTGAGTACCTGCCAGAATCGGGAGACACAGAGATGCAGACAACAGTTGGCCCTGCCTACAGGGAGTGTATGGTGTATGGTCTACAAGCAGGGAGAGGCAGAGTGCTACAGAAATTCATACCCTTTGCTTACTAAAAATGCTATGCTACAAACCATATAACTATCATGGTCAGATCTGTATGTCCACATATTCAGGAGAAAAGGCAAGCTAGGAAACACCAGTATCTCTGGTGCTGTGTAATATTCGTACAGCGGTCACTATCTAAGCCCAGGCAGGTTCTGATCATTTTTTCTAATATGCTGATTTACATGAGAAAACATGACCCAGCTTTTCAAGTTAAGTGAAATTAATGACATATTCATTTAATCATCTCTTTTTTAAAAGAACAAAATATATTAATATAAATATATTTATATTATCTATGTTAATTATATAATAATATAAATAACACAAATATAAGCAAAATGTATAAATTCTGGTACTGCTTGGGAAAAATTCAAGATTCCTGGTCATTTTAACTGTACTATAGTCCTTTCACATACATAATTCCCTGGTAGAAGGAGAGACTTCATACTCCAGAATAACATTTCTAAGAAGCAACTTCCTAGATGTTCAGTGAGTTTAACAAAACCATGAGGAGCCCAGATTCTGGTGTCAGACGAACCTGGACTGGGCTCCAGGCCTGTCCCTTACTACATATTGTTGGGCAGGTTGCTTAGCCTCTACAAGTCTTGATTTCTTCATCTACAAAATGTGACAAAAATTGTCCATATCCTCAAAGGGTTGTTGTGAAGATTAAATGAAAAAATGCATGTACAAGGCTTAGCACAATTTTCGACCCAAAGGAAGCACCTAGTGTGTGGGAACTGCCATTATTATTATTATTACTCTAGTTTGCATAATAAAAGAAATGGAGAAGAAAACATGAATGCACGTGGTGTGAATGAGATGCCTGGACTTGTTAGGGGGCACGGCCTCACACAGCCAGATGACGATGGGAAGCTCAGCAGCACAAGAACTAGAAGAATCTCACGTGCCGAGCCTTCTTTGGAAAGGAGAACAAATGGAAGCTGACAGGTTAGGAATTAGTGAACTCGTGCTTAAGAGGACAGAGAACTTCAATATGAGTAATTAGAACAATAATCTACCCTTGGCTTTTTTCATGCTTGAGCGGCACAGAGAACACATGGATGGAGAAAAGAGGCAGTTTCAAACCAGCACGTGAGTCCACTCCTATACTGCCTAACTGCCCTTATCCTCTATCAACAGGCATCCCAGGTGAGCCTCAGGTAAAGCAACGTCAGCTTACAAGTAACAAGATAAAAAGCCACAAGAGAACTAACAGTTACCAAAGGGAAAGGAACTGGGGAGGCTGGGTGGGAAGGGAGGGAGGGAGAAGGCGAAAAAGGGGCATTATGATTGGCACACAATGTAGAAGGGGGCATGGGGAAGGCAGTATAGCACAGAGAAGCCAAGTAGTGACTCTATAGCACCTTACTACGCTGATGGACAGTGACTGCAATGGGGTATGTGGTGGGGACTTGATAATGGGGGAAATCTAGTAACCACAGTGTTGCTCATATTAATGATTATATATTAATATATATAAAGTGATTATATATTATAATCATAAATATATAATCATAAAGTGATTATATATTAATGATGCCATAATAAAAAGTAAATATAAAATATATATATATATAAATATAAGTAAGACCATAGAAGCTTTGTAATGAAAAAAAATGCATGATTTAAAACTATTATGTATCAATGTAGATACTATATTATTCTTTGTACATAAAACACAGTTGCTTGAAAAAAAAAAGCCACAAGATAGAAGGGATTCAGAAATTCTCTTAACTGGTGGTTTTCAAGTTTTTAAGCCACAAAAGGTTTTCTTGAGAGAAAAGTATGGACAAAAAAGTAAAATGTGCAGCTAGCTAGTCAGGCCCCAGCAGAGATGGTGTCCCAGAGCCTAGGCAGCTCACCTGCCCACCCCGCATCCTGACAGGGGCTCCTGGAGCATAATCTGAAAGCCACTGATACCATCCTACCCCTCAATCTCTGGGGTGTGGAAACTGATGGTCAGTAAGGAGAGGGTCCTTCTAACCACGCTGTAACCAGAGGGAGGCGAAGCTGTTAACAGAATCCAACCAGTTTTTTTTTTCCCACAGAATACCACCCTCTTGATGGACATGCCAAAAAGGTGAGGAAGAAAGTAAACTGTAGTTGAGAAGAATGTGCCTCATCCTAGGAAAAGAGCATAAAAACGAAAGGCTGGTGAGAGATGAAGTCGGGCACTGACAGCTCGGGCTCCACTAATCTGCATATAAACAAAACACTGCCTCCATCAGTGGCTCAGGAGAGTTACCAGAACAGTTTTTTGAACACTAAAAAAAAAGAAAGACTTCACAGAGAATGCCTAACAGACTCACATTTACAAGTATATTGCATATGCATGCACACAATTTCACTTTGGAGGAAGTTTAAGCCACATTAATGGAACTGTGAGGGAATGAAAAGAGGGAGTGAACAGCCAACAAAATTAACTCCAGTGACTAATGGATGAATTACAGTCTTGTGATGCTGAGCATGATTTAGTGCTTTGTTCACAGAAACCCAGCTTAGATCATCTGGTTGTACATTAAAGTACTTTTATTCTAAAAATCAAAGGTCAAGTTAAGTGCTTTGTTTTAGACTTGTGTGTCATGGAGTTCAGAGTTCAGAAGAACATGGGTAAATTATTGTCTAAAGTACCATCACTTCCCTCTGTTTGAGACACCGTGGTGTAGACAGAGCCCCCAAATCCAGCTCCTTCCTGCTGCTGCAGACCCATTTCCCAGGTAATTCACTAGGCCTGCGTCCACCCACACAACCCAGAATATGGGGGAAATCCTGCGGGGCTGCAGCCTGTGAGACCCCACTATTCTGCACTGCATTTTCACCTTTTTGTCCCATAAAAGGAGGACTAAGAGTTTCCAGAGAGAAATTACTTTTACACAGATTATTTCCTGGCCTTACCCACATCACATCCCTGAACAGCATCTCACCTCCTCCAGCTTAAAAACTGCTCCAACGTGTGGCTGGATGCGCCCTTGCTGGCAGTACTGAAGAGCTGAGGACAGGCTCCTGGAGAAGATGGGAAAGTTCTGGACCTGGTATTGGCCAAAGTACAGTCCCACAGCAGAGACATTCTTCAGGAGCAGGAGGTTAGTAGGCACAGAAGCAATGGTTCCTCCAGCAAAACCTACCACCACAATCCTGCCCTCCCATGCCAGGCTGAGGGAGAAAGGGGAGAAGGAAAGGAAATCATAAAAAACAATGTACATTCACACCCATTAGGATGTCTCTAAAAAATAACAAATAACAAGTGTTGATGCAAATGGAGATAAGGTGGAACACTCATGTATTGCTGGTGAGACTTATACAATCTGTTGGTGCAACCACTAGGGAAAATAGTGTGACAATTCCTCAAAACCTTAAATAAAAGAGAACTACCACATGATCCAGCTATTCTACTTCTGTGTGTGTAGCCAAAAAAATTGAAAGCAGTCTTCAGATATCTGCACACCCACGTTCACAGGAACACCATCTACAAAAGCCAAGAGGCAGAAACAAACCAAATGTCCATCAACTGATGGATGGATAAACAAAAGGAATGTATTATATACATGCAACAGAATATCATACAGCCTTAAAAAGGAAGGGGAGTCTGTCACAAGCTACAACATAGGTGAGGAACCTTGAGGACATTATCCTAAGTGAAATAAGCCAGCTATAAAAAGACAAATACTGTATGATTCTACTCATGTGATATATGAATAGCAGTCAAGTTCATAGCAACAGAAAGTAGAATGGTGATTACCAGGGCTGAGAGCACCTGGGAAAAGAGGAGTTGTTTTCATGGGTGTAGAACTTCAGATTTATGAGGTGAAGAACTTATGGAGCTCTGTGTCACAACAACGTACATATACTTAACACTACTGAAGTGTAATCTTAAAAATTGTTAATAGAGCAATTTTATGTCTTTTTTTTACCACAATAAAAACTGTAGAATGAAAAACAAGCAATGTGTATTAATTCATAGAAAGTAGAATAGAGGCTACCAGAGAGGCAGAGGAGGGAGAAGGAGCATTATGGGTACAGAGATTTTGTTGGGGATAGTTTTGTAACACTGTGAGCATATTTAATGACACTGAACTGTACCCTTACAAATGGTTAAAATGATAAACACTGGGTTATATGTATATTTTACCACAATTTTTTTTAAAAAGCAACATGAGTGAAACCCCCAGCTGGGAAGTCCTCTTGACCTTACTAACTAGCAGAGGTGAACCATCCTGTACCATTCTCCTCAATAGGGAAATATAAAAATAAGCCATAAAAAAGATAATAGGGGATGAGAGGAGGTTTACCAGGGGACTTGGTTTGGAATCAACTCTATTTAACTACTCAGTTACTTTACTGAAGGAAACTGGGTGTAAACAAATGCCATTCCATATGCTGCACTTCAAGACAACTCTGTAGATTTTGAATTTAGGAAACAGAATAAGAAAAAAGACTCTTTTATGAAGCATCATTTGCTTTACATGAAGACTTACTTTAGAATTCCTTTAAGTTATATGTTTCTCTAGAGAATTCTGAATTATCTAAAAACACTCATACAAGTTTACTTCGGCCCATTATAAGTACCAGACAGTGTATGCTAAGCAATGTATTACAAAAATAAACTTTGTAAACATCTTTGATATGAAATATGTGTATGTTAGTTTGGGCTTTTTGCTTTTCTTCTTTAGAAGGGAAATGAGAAGCTGTTATCAAAACATTGTTATCCAGAAGGCAAGGGTGAGTACCGCAGCTCCCTGTCCTGCTCTCCACCTAGTCGACCCATTCCTCCCTTTGCTTCTTGTTTAAGCACAGCACTGGGAACAGGGAAGTGATGCTCAGAGGCTACACAACCACCTGGGTCCCTTCTGTGGGTAAGCTGCTCTCTTTGCTTGTTGCTTCTACTTTAGAGTAAGACAAACCACAAAACTGTTTGCCAAGATGACATGAGAAAGAAAAGCAGTATTTTCAGGGCACTCTGAGGTCCCTGGTTGAAAACCAAATGAGAATTGGTGTGGATACAACAATCCCACTAAATCCCCAGTGATTTTTTTTAATGAAACAAATCAAGTAGACACCTACACTATTGGCTGCATCAGAAAGGAGATCAAAGGAGCCTGTACCTTGGCACACGGTGAACTAGGGAAATGCCACCCCAGTAATGCCAACATCTGAACAATGATCTCAAGAATTACCCACGCCATGTATATAAAGTAGTTAGTGGGGGCTGACAAAGCTGAATTTAACACATGTATAATTTCTAAGGCATTTGATATTGCCAACTAAAGAGTCTGCAGTCATTTTTTGGATATTTTCCAGTTGGAGATTTTGTTTTTTGCTAAATTAAGCATTTCCTGATTTTCCCTCTGCTTCCATTCCTTTTCACCCACCCACTCAGCTGTTCTCTAGACTCTTTTATGAAGCATCATTTGCTTTACATGAAGACTTACTTTAGAATTCCTTTAAGTTATATGTTTCTCTAGAGAATTCTGAATTATCTAAAAACACTCATACAAGTTTACTTCGGCCCATTATAAGTACCAGACAGTGTATGCTAAGCAATGTATTACAAAAATAAACTTTGTAAACATCTTTGATATGAAATATGTGTATGTTAGTTTGGGCTTTTTGCTTTTCTTCTTTAGAAGGGAAATGAGAAGCTGTTATCAAAACATTGTTATCCAGAAGGCAAGGGTGAGTACCGCAGCTCCCTGTCCTGCTCTCCACCTAGTCGACCCATTCCTCCCTTTGCTTCTTGTTTAAGCACAGCACTGGGAACAGGGAAGTGATGCTCAGAGGCTACACAACCACCTGGGTCCCTTCTGTGGGTAAGCTGCTCTCTTTGCTTGTTGCTTCTACTTTAGAGTAAGACAAACCACAAAACTGTTTGCCAAGATGACATGAGAAAGAAAAGCAGTATTTTCAGGGCACTCTGAGGTCCCTGGTTGAAAACCAAATGAGAATTGGTGTGGATACAACAATCCCACTAAATCCCCAGTGATTTTTTTTAATGAAACAAATCAAGTAGACACCTACACTATTGGCTGCATCAGAAAGGAGATCAAAGGAGCCTGTACCTTGGCACACGGTGAACTAGGGAAATGCCACCCCAGTAATGCCAACATCTGAACAATGATCTCAAGAATTACCCACGCCATGTATATAAAGTAGTTAGTGGGGGCTGACAAAGCTGAATTTAACACATGTATAATTTCTAAGGCATTTGATATTGCCAACTAAAGAGTCTGCAGTCATTTTTTGGATATTTTCCAGTTGGAGATTTTGTTTTTTGCTAAATTAAGCATTTCCTGATTTTCCCTCTGCTTCCATTCCTTTTCACCCACCCACTCAGCTGTTCTCCTTGATGCCTACAGGAAAAGTGAGCAGCAAAGACAAAGAGAAGTAAGGCCAGAGGAAGGCAGAGGGCTGGAAAGGTGTCCTCAGAGCCCCAGGCCCACCCACTCTGGGAAGACCACTTCACATACCTGCCTAGAGCCTCTAGGAAGATATCTCCTCCCACGGTGTCGATGACCACGTTCACCCCGCCACTGCCCACCAGTTTCCTCACTGCCTCCTTCAAGCTATTCTGACTGTAGTTCACGCTGGACTGCGCGCCCCTCTGCACAGCCAGCTTGCACTTCTCATCACTTCCAGCTGCAGCTATTACCTGCATAAAGAACACAAAGTTTTTGATGGCCCAGAATATGCACCAAGAGGGGCTCACCCCAGCCACCCAGCCTCCAATCAAAGGGCACTAATCAAGGGAACCAATGAGGCTTTGCTGTCCTACCACCAGCCTCAATCCCACACATCATGCCCAACACACATACCCCACTCGCCATGGGATCCACGTTTCCAGAGATTCTGGAACCCCAGTGGGTCTAGCTACAAGACTGTTCAGGAGACACCCAGAGAGTCTTTGCCAAATGTGACTCAAACCACCATTTACTGAGCACCTACTATAAGTCAATTAGTAAGGATACAAGCTAAGTATCAAGCTTAGTGTCAGGAAAGCAAGATACAGCAATGCGATGGAGGAAACACAGAAGATTCCAGAAGTGCAAATGAGAGGTGCCCAGTCTAGATCTAGAAAGGTTTCCCAGAGGGTAAAACATGATTCAATGGAAAGACATTGAAGTTAGAGAGTTGACCTAAGTTCAAATCCTGACTCTGCTACTAATTAGCTATGATACCTAAGGCAAATTACTTAGTAAAAACTACCACTTACATGGTGCTTACTATGTACCAGGAACTACTATAAATACTTTACATATCTGAATAACTCATTTAATATTATCAGTCCAATGATATAACACTATTCTTATCCCCATTTTAGAGATAAAGAAACTGAGCCAAAAGAAATCAAGTAACTTGCCCAAGGTCACCCAGCTGACGGGAGTCCCCATTGGGCTCCAAACCCAGGTAATTTGTCTCCGTAGTTCATGCTTTTCATTGATATGCTGTCTGCCAACTTCTCTAAGCTTCAGTTACCCCATCCATAAAATAAGATTTAAAAAATCAAGTGGAATACTATATATAAAGCACTTGGAAAACAAAGTGTTAGATAACTTGAACCTATTGTTACACATATGCATTTATTCTAGTTAAACCCCATAAGAACATTATGGGGGAGGTATAATCACTTCTGTTTTATAGATGGAAACATAGACCCAGAGAAATTGAATAATTGCCCCAGGATCATTGAGGAAGGAGGTGGAAAACAACTATTCAAATCCAATGCTATTTGACTCTACAGCCTATGCTTTCCCACCCTATCACCCTGGAAGAAAACCACACATAAAGCCTGGCAGAGCAGGCACAGATGGCTGCAGGCCATACCGGGAGCAGGTCTGGGGTTACCAAGGTTCTGGAAAAGCTTCAGATGCTCAAGCATTGCCTAGAGGTGCCTTCCCAATGGGCAGTCCCCACCAGACCGAGCACTTTGGCACCAAGGTGACACTCAGAAAGTGTATTCAAACACCCAAAACATCAGTGCCCTCAAAATGGTCCAACCTCACCCATAATAATTTGAAAGGAAAAACTACCTTCAAACACTCCCCAGTGGACCCCTCAAATAGCTACAGTTCACTGAGCACTACCAGCACAAGGGGCCACAGGGGCAGATACCAGACGAGGGCCAGGTGCCTGGTTCCAATTCCCGGACTCTTGTGAGGTGCCCGTGAGACCTGCCATGGGTCAAGATCTCTCCTGATGCCTCACTTTCTGTACCTGTGAAACAGGAATAATAAACACTAACATTCCCTATCTGCCTGGAGTTTTGAGCAGTGGAGGGTAAGGTAATTGCTGTGGAGGCACTCTGAAAGCCACATGCAGTGCTGTGAAAGGAAGGTGTTACCACAATGCCCTGTTCCAAGTAGGTGGCATGAGGACATTATTTTCCTTAATTTTCTGTTTGCTTTTGCTGAAAACCATTACTGCTGCCAAAGAAAATACAGCTTGGGTTAATTTTAGTATCTCAGTTGAGGTGAATTTTCCTCTCTACTTAACCTCCAATAACTACTTAAAACAAATGGCACAATTTTATCTTCCCAGAAAGGTTAAATAGTCAATGGTTGGAGACAATGAGACTCATTTCAGCTGTCCCCACAAGAGAGGGGCTAGAAGCCCTTGCTTTTGACATAAAATGTGTTGATATTCCATGAGGAGCCTCCTGATATCTAAGATCATTTTCAGAGCTCACATGTCCTTCCCCAAAGGAGCTGTTGTGAGAAGGGAGAGATGCCACCTGAAGAAACTCCAGATCAATCCAATTATCTCCAAACCCAAACATCCTGGTACCTCTGGATCTCCCCACTGCAGGCTCCATGGGAGCCTCACATTCCACATGTCCGGAACTGTGCTCTCCATTCCCTCTGTGATCTCAGTCTCACTAAACAGCAGATCCACAGGTTAACCCAGTTTGCGCCCTCCCACTCCATGTCTAATAACAGGATCCCCTTTTAAGAGATTCTTACTGACATGCCATGCCCTACAGTAGGTGCTCTGCACACATCAGGTCCAACATTCTACAACAGCCCTATGAGAAAAGCACCATTTTACCAGTGAGGATACTGAAGCAATTTCTCTAGAGGCAGAACTAGAACATAAACCTAGCTTGGGATAACTTTAAAGTCCTTGGTCCTTCAACCACACTGGGATGCTCTCCAGTCATCAAATTCTCTATTTCCTTTCAGTTCAGTATCTCTGAATCCATCGCCTTCACCACTTTGGTTCAGGCAGCACCACTTCTGGCTGGAATTGCTCCAAGAGCCTGCCCCAGACCACCCTGACCATGCCGCATCCCTAAGCCCCATGGCTACCAGAGTACCATCTTTGCAAAATGCATACATGATCATTTCACTTCCCTACTTAAAATCCTCAATAGCCCCTGAAAGCTTCCAATGAATGGTCAGATTCTTCAGTGCCTCATGATCTGATCTCTGCCCACCTCTCTAGACTCATCTTCCCTCCCCTGCCCCCCACCCCATGGCTCCTTTGCTCCACAGATGCTATTTACAATTCCCTGAAGGTGCCATGTTGGTTCCCACATCTGTTTTCTAGTATGTCCTCCCACCACTGACATTGCCTTCACATTCCTCCTTCTTCTATTCAACTACTGCCAGTCCTTCAAAAGTCAGCTTAAATGTCCACCTTCTCCAAGAAATCCTCCTCTGACAACTACAGCCTCAGAGAGATGGTCCTGCAGAGACTTAGGTCTTTATTGCACCTGTTTATTCATTCATTCAAGAAATAATTATTGAGTGTCTACTATGGTCTAGGCACTATGCCAGGAGCTCAGACTACAACAATGGGCCAGACATGGTCCTTGCCTTCTTGGGGATTATGGTCCACTAAGAGGGAGACAATAATTCAATAATGACACAAGTAGAGGATTGACCACACCCTGAGGTGTGTGCTATGAAAGAGAAGCATAGGCAGCTACAAGACCATACACAAACGGTGCGAGGGAGCAGATAACACTTGAGGGACAGGAATACTTTCTTGAAAACATGACATCTGAGTTGAAATTTGCAGTGCAGGGCCAGACAGTTCAGAACATTCCAGGTAGAGGGAATAGGATCTGCAGAGGCTGTGAAGTGAGTCAGACCTCGCCAGGCTCTAGTAACTGCGGAGAGGAGGGAGTTACTCTTCAGCCCCCTCACTAGTCTGTGAGTAAATAGATGGCAAGACCCTACTCTTGGGTACTTCCTATCCCCAGTGCCTGGCACATCACTTTCAATAAATGAATGTATATATTCCATGACTGAAACCTGGAGGTGTGACATTTTTAAAATGGAGAATCTAACACGCAGATACCTTGGCCTGAAGAACATTTGTGGCCACGTCTATCACTGCAAGGCCTGTGGCTCCAGCTGCTGCCGTCACTAAAACAGTTTCTCTGCCAGAGAAAGATGAACATTACTGGAGAAACCTTCAAGAATCAGCCAGGAGTATGATTTTGTAAACATTTGAAAGCAAGAAGAGGGCTTAGAGGCCATTTTGTTCAACCCTTCATGTACATCCGTTGCCCGGCTTTTTGGGCCAGGTCTTGTATGTACCTAGACCTGTGTTAACTGGGTCCAGTTTAGAAGGCTGCCTAGGAAAGAGATTCCTTATCTCTCTAGGTTGCCCCTTCCTCATTCTGTGGCAACCCTTCCTTTGAGCAATGACTCCAATTTCTGCTTCAGAAACTCTGTCCTAAACTCACTCTCCTACTGAACACTGCTGAATTTTAGAAGATGGTGATCATGCCATGACCGCTGCTCAGCCAAACCCACTTCTCTGGAGCGATTCTGAGGCTCTCTGAAAAGAGCAGAGGCATATGCTCCAGGTACAGTGGGAAATTCAGCACCTCTGAAATACCACAGTTGGGCACATGGACTAAGCCTTACAAAAACAAACACAGGCCTCCGTTAACTTGAGTGAAGCATGGTGAAATAAACCAATTCTCTAAAATTTAAGGTTTTCTAGGAGGTAGTCTTCCAGAGCATCAGCTCTGAAAGAAAGATCTCTCCAAATTCATATTGGCCAAGTTCATAGTCTACCATGCCCTCTCAGAAGAAGGATATCCCTACCCTCTCTGGACCCCAATATTGGGTCCCTACCTTCCTTTGGCCTTTCCTCAGACTAACATGAGCTAAAGGCCAGGGAAGTGGAAGGGAGGGTCAAGGTATTGGTGGGCACTTCTGATATCAGAGAAGGTACCACCCACCCCTCTGTCATCTACACCATCCTTACCCAGGCTGGGTATGGGCCCGATGTTCCAGGGCCAAAATAGCAGTGCCATAAGATACGGGCAGGACGGCAGCTTCTTGGAGAGGGATCTTTTCTGGAATCTGCCACAGTGCCTACCAAAAGAGAAAACAGTGACTTAGGGATTAAACTCATGCACCTGCTCATAAAGGCTGTCCAGTAAATATTCTGATTTGATTGCCTGACTGATCTGCAAAGGGAAACACATGTCAGGAACCAAGACCAGGGGAAGTCTAGACCAAGTAAGCTGCAGCAGAGTTCAAGATGGGTGCATCAACATCCTGAAGTTGGCATCTGGCTCAGGAAGGAACCAACTTTTGGAGAATGGAACACATCCCACTCTACTGCAATGCACAAGATGGTAAATTTCACCTCAATAAAGCTGTGGAAACATTATATACTGTTCACCACTAGGGAGCACCATTCACGTACTGCACAACCGTACCCCGCCCTCCTAGCTGGCTCCATGACCAGGGCTCTCTGTCAGATGCTTTGTGTCCGGGAGAAAGCCATTACATCTAGCTCAATGCCCCAGACCAGTTTTTCTACCAAATCTACAGAACTATGGTCCAACTGGACAGCCAGCCAGTTGCTCCAGGACACAGAAAACAGAATGCCCTTCTTCATGTAACCACTCCATACAAACAAAACGCTATGCAAGGGCTGTCACACCAATATAAAGAAGGGGCTTAGCATTTGAAAGAAGGAAGTGCTTGGCTGAGAAACAAGGTAAGACGGAATGAGTACAAAGAGAAGGAGAATGAGGAATGAGGAATAGTTGGAAATTAAAGAAAACACAGGAAGAGAAAAAAAACCTCTAAGCATTAATATTGAGAGGTAGAGATACCTTCTGGTCAGTGATGCATTCTTCAGCCATGCCATGGGAGCCACTCACGCCAAGAACTCGATCTCCCTGAAGGGAAAATGCCATTAAAGTTATATTCCGATGCATGGTCCTACCATTTACCTCTTCCCAAATTAATCCAAAAAAAAATAAAGAAAATTTTTCTGACTCCGTAAGACACAGATTTGCCTTGAATATCTATAATCCCACCATTTTCTCAATACACCCAGCAGATTGCCAAATCAATCTGAGCACATTTTGGACAATGATAGAAAAGAGTAAGGAGAAGGCTGACATGAATTAGACTTAAAGTGTTCATTTTGCTCCACAAGAGGCTGAAACGTGGGAATTTTTCTAACTTCTCAGTAACTAAAGACCAAGGCGCTGCCTTTTATTAGTAATAAAAAGTTTATTTTATTACAGGACCTTTCACTGGTTTCCTTTCCCCAATTCAGTATTAGTTTCTTCCCCCTCCAACTGGGTTTCTCTTTGGTGTCTGGCTGGCAAAGGCCAGGAGGAGCAAGACCCTTCGGCTACAATCGAGGTTGGCACATTTCTCATAGCTACACACACATCAATTTCTTAGATTTCAATTAATTTACCTCTTTCACTGTGCTGACATCTGTGCCTGTCTCCAATACTGTCCCAGAAAACTCCATGCCTAAAGCAAATTGTTTAAAGAATAGGTTATCTGTAAAGCCCAGCATCTTGGAGGTAGGAAAACCTTGATCAATAGGCCATCCTATTAGCTTTCTAGAGCTGAGAGGGGTTAAGGGTCCCCCCAACCCAGGGAAGAGGGGTGAGAATGTTGCACCCAAAGTACAGGAACATAAAATGAAGATTTCATGACCACAACCTGACAAGCTATAGCAGCCCCACTCTTACCACAACACAGATGAAAAATCTCAAGGATGGCAAAAGGAAAGAAAATCACAGGCACACTAGTATTTCTGACCCCAGTCCCTGGGGCCTTGGGCTCCTACAGCACCCCTCAATTACAATGCTCATTGTAGTGTATTTACCTGTTTCCCTGTCTCATCTTCTGGACTAGGAGGCCCTCAAGGACATGACTTATCTTTATTCATATAGCACTTGGCTCAGTTGGATGAGTTGATGTTGTCTATCCTTTCCTCTTCCACTTCCAAAATTTCAGAATTTAATAATCATACATTTCCCACTTGGTCTACCAGAGGAATAACTCAACTGAGTATGATATCTGCTCCCCATCTAGCATTTCAACAAATACAAATAGGAAGAAATGGTTCCAACTGTTCAGACACAGTCAAACACCCTAAGGCCAAAACATAGCAACTATTTTGCAATCATTGTATCCTTAGTACTGTGTATCTGTATAAAATATACGTGTACTGTATACATGCTACACTATACTTATATCCCTTTAAGTAAATTTCAACAGCAAAAATCAGTCATTTGACCACATACTCATTAGGATCTAAATGTAATCAGATTGGGCATAATGAAAATCAGACAGTGGGCTGTTAGAAATGTATAAACTCTTTTTCTTTTTTCTGATCCTTTGATATTAGGTTTCTTCAGGAATGTGTTTGTGAGGATTGGGAGTTTAAGCTGCAAACAGATGTTTGTGATCCGTCAGTGAAAAAACAACATTGCAGAACCAGTGAAAGGGAATGACTAGGGCCAGTGATGATTCTGATCAGAATTCTAGTAAACATAAGGATACGTAAAAATTCATTTGTTCATTTATTTGTTTTTTAAGCACCTACTAGAAACCAGAAACAATGCTAAAACACAGGTATATTCTCAGGCAAAACAGTGATGGAAACTTCCCTTCAGGTACTCACAATCTAGTGCTTCTAATTAGCAGTGAGGCCAATATATCTGTGGCATTACTGAGGGTGGGCAAGAACTGCCAGAGTATTACCTGAAATGAAGCACATGGTTCTGAAAACTCCCTGTATCCTGTATCTTCTTTTCCTAAACCAGATACTCACCAGGTGTGAAGGGAAGTTGGGGCCTTTTCTGATACTGACCACGGCACACCAAAATATCAGCAAAGTTAACTCCACAGAAATGAACATCAACTCTGACCTACAAAGGAAACAGAGCAACAGAGCAAGGCAGTACACATCCATGGAAACAAAGTTCATTCAATTATACCAAAATATTTACTGAGTGCCTACTATATGCCAGGTACTAAACTGAGTGCCAGTGTACAATCACAAAGCATAAGACAAACTTCCTGTCTTCTTGGACTAAGAGTATATAGAAGACAGACATTAACCAAATAATGATGGTTTCTGTGTTAAATTACAACTCCTACACAACATGTTAGAGAAATAATTGGTGCAATGAAAGCACATAATGGAGGGATTTGATCTTTTGGAGAACTCAGGAAAAACTTGCCTGAGCAAGTAATGCCTGAACTAAGAAAAGCTAACAGTTAACTATTCAAAATAAGAAGAGGAAAGCCTGGCACAACCAAAAGCAATGGCGTGTGCAAAGTTCCTGTGGTGAGAACAAAAGAAAAACCAGTGACCCTAAAGCACAAAACGGAAGAGATGGGCCTAGAGAGCAGGCCAAAGGTTTACAGGCCTTACTGGGGATCTTAGTCTTCATACTAGGAACAATGAAAGGTCATTAAAGGATTTTAAGCAGAAGGGTAACATGATTGGCTGTTTGGGGAACCAGGAATCATCCTGGAGGCTAATCCTAGATCCCCGGTTTCTGCATTTCATAGAAATGCTAAGGCAGAGGTAGGTCTGAAGCAATGTAGCTAGCAGTTTCTGTAGACCTTATAAGTCAGTGGTTCTCAAAGTGTGGACCACAGACCACTACTTTATGTCACCTGGCAACTTGTTAGAAATTCAATTTCTCAGGCTTTACCCCTAACTCTGAATCAGAAACTCTGGGACAAAGCTCAGCAATCTGTTTTAACAAAAGCCAGGTGATTGTAATGCAGGCTAAAGTTAGAGAACTACCAGTCAAGACAGCTCTGAACCACAGCAGGAAATGAAGGCTGAGAGACAGAATGGACAGCACTCATTTGTTTGTTTACACTTCCTATGTAGTTCAGAGGTGGCCATATTGGTGAGAAGACATTTTTATAGACAACACGTATTCATTCAACAATGTTTTAAGCATCTACCACGTGCCAGGCACCACTCCAGACTATGGAGATTTAATGGTTAGTAAACTCACCTAGCCCCAGCTCTCATGAGCTAATTTACAAGGCAGTGTCTGGGCAAATAAGAGAACAAAGGGGCCCAGACTTTAGCCTGCGCACATTGTGTGCATGACACATGAGTGCTGACGTGCACGGCACACATTTATCCTCAAGCCACTCTACCTTGATTCAAGGATAATTGAAGGATGAACGTCTTTCGGTACTTGAATCCCAGGAAGCAGACTGGCTGCCATCACGTGCTTACCCACATAATCCATTTAACCACAGCGTCCATGTTAGTGACACATCAGGGCTGCAGCTACATTTCTCTCTCTCTCACCCATGGTGCCCACCACTGAGGCTCACTGCCCACTTCGCCTTGTCGGAGGTTCTCATTCTCCACCCCAGATGACAGTGTGCCACCAAAGCGACTTCCACATTTCATCAGAAATGCACACAATCCTAAACTAACCCCACCTAAATCACTGCAGTACACCAGAGGGCACAAGGCACATATTCAGATGGAAATGCAAGACAGACGTTATAGGGCTGGTTTGGGGGGAGGAGGGAGGACTGGTAATTAGATGCTGACACCGAAGAGGAAGCAAACGATGGGGTCCATTTTTCTGTTAAATCAGTAACTTGCAGGTGGTTATGTAAAATCGTGTGCAATTCCGAATTCTGTTTCCAAGGCAACAGCTCTGGGGCCTTCAGTTATTGGAGAACAATTTTCCTTTAGCACTCGCGGCCTTTTTGTGAATCCGGAAAGAGCCCTTGCAGCCGAGCACCAAGTTGCGCTCGTCTCCCAGTCGCCCCTAGCTGAACACTGGGAGCTCCATGCAGGACGGAAGCCTGAGGTGTGTGTGGTGGCCCAGTTAGGAGTGAAAAAGGCGTCAAGGGATCCGGACGGAGGCCAGTCACCCTACCTCGTGAGGCCCGACAGGGCGGGGGGCGACCTCCTCAATGGTCAGGGGCTGCTGCAACTCGGCGCAGAGCGCGGCGCGGTAGTGCCGGCCGCAGCCCGGCCCGGCCCGCCTGCAACATGGAACGAGGGTCGGGTTACTCGGGCCCAACCCGGGGCTACCTTTGGGAGCTCAGGGAAGTCGGGGTCGCACCTGCAGAGCCACGCCCGAGGGAAGCAGCGTCCCCAGACCAGCGCCGCCATGGCCAGCGCAGGGAGCCCAGGGGGCGTGGCCGCGCGCGGCAGGAAGCCCCGCCCGCGGTGCCGCGAGGGCGGAAGGGGGTCCGGCTGGGCCCCGAGGGCTGGCTGCGGCCGTAACCGCGCCCTGGGCCGCCCCACCCGCCGGGCGCCGGGCTTCTCCTGGGAGCCTGAGCTCCTTCGTCCCCCGGCCGGCGTCCTGGAGGAGGCCGCTGGGGAGGAAAGAAAATGAGTCAAAGGAAATAGATTAACCAGATTACCAAACTGGCATTTTTACAGCAAATTTGGGAAACTTCAAGACATCCTTGGCGACGTTTAAATAACATTCTTGGGTCCTCTGCACGTGCGAAATCCTAAATGCATAGGTAAAGGCTTTAATGTTTCCATTCAACACGGTACTAGAATTCAATCTTCTTACTATTTTTCTCACACTTTAAAGACCATTTACACTAAAATTATGTGGTTACTAGTAATCCAATGTTGAAAGATACTACACAAATCCAGAGAATGCTTCCAGTGAAAGTCAAGCCAAACCCTGGTAGTTTTCACGTTCCAGAGGCCTATATTATGCCCCGCACATAGTAAATGCTCAATAATTGAATCAATGACCACAGAATTCCTAAGTGATCAGGAATACTCTGGGAAAACCAGAAACATAACACTATAAACTGTGGAAATATTATAAAACTAGAGAAGTACGTGTTGTCCTGGGAAGAACGTTTCCTTTGACTAGTAGCTTTTAAAGACAGTATCAGGCTTTAAAAGACATCTGGTCAGAGTACAGCTGCTCAGATTCAAGCCCAGCTATACCACCTATTGTTGTGGCTTGGCATTGACACCTGATGGTTGGGCGCCCCAATTTCCTCCTCTTAAAGTGAAAAGTGAAAGCAGTGTGTAGGATAATTTACAAATTATATAAATTCTGTTTCTAGTTTTTGATAGAAACAATAGTCCAAGATAGCAAAAGGCCTGGAAGAAATGGAATAAAGGAAAATTGGCAACAAAAAAGTGAAGTAGGAATGAATTTATGAGATTATGACCTAAAGGCTTTAGAAAAGGAATCCCCTCCATCCCCCCACCAATGTTTAGACAATTTACAGGGAATTTGAAGTCATTTCAGCCCCTGTCCCCCTTAGGAAGAGACTCAGTCCAGAGGAACAAGGACTAAAAAGTGAGAGGTTGAAAAAAATTATTTTCCCTGAGGTACTCTGTAAACTCTTAGTCATTAAGCACATAAAATCAGGCCAGGAATAATGGAGAAATACCAACATTACCATCAAGAAACTGAACATTTTGGTTGCTTCAAATAACAGTGAGCAACAACAACAACAAAATCTCAAGTTTATGAATGTGAAACCAGGATTGATTGTTATGAGGATGAACTGTTATATGTTGGAAATATTTTATAAAATATTAGGTATTTATGCAAGATATAAAGCAAGTAATTTTTAATCGAGCTCCTTGAAAGCAGCAACTGTTCCTTCATCTCCTTCATGTTTGCAGTACTTTGCTCAATGCAACACTTATAGATATTTAATACTGTTTACCTAATGTACTGTTGAATGAGCACTCAGTTATCTAGTTATCAGTTTTCCAGATTGGAAGTACCTTTAAGTATCAAGTCTTTTATTTTTTATTAAGTATTTTCATGGAAATTTTTTCTATTGTGGTTTCATAACATTCTTGTCCTCAATGAGTTTGGAGAAATCTAGCAATACTGCATTCTACATTTATTACAATATCTGAAGGAAATAGTAAATGTCCCTTTAAGAAGCTCTTGGAAGGAGATGAAAGTATTTTAGGTAATTGAGGTGACTGTAAGCACTTATATGCAAAATAACTCACATTTTCAAAGAGCTTCAAAGGTAAGTGACAAGGCATTTAATAGTAGTTACTATAGTAGCAAAAGAAATATTTAGCCTATCCATCAAAGTGCTGCCACTACACCGTACTGCCTAGTTTTTGTTAGCATTTCTGGTTATTTTGTTTTATTTGGGGGTAGGGTGGAAGAATGGACAGGAAGAATGAAGTTTGAGTCCTAGGGGAGAATAAGTCCAAGCAGCTAAATCTGAACTGATCAGTCCTCTGGAAAGAAAAAGAATCGATAGCTGCCCCGCAAACCAGTTTGAGGGCTCATTAAGAAGTAAAAGAGTAACAGATGACTCTTTCTTCTGGTACAACTCATAAAGAGATATTTAACAGCCAGAAGCTACTGGAGGGCTGAGGGTGGAGAAGCGAGCCAGAGCCGAACACACAAACAGCTATGTTTTCACAGCATAAGAGACAAACAATATAAGCACCATACAGGATGATGCTGAACATTTCAAAGTATCCCCCACAGTAAAAATGCTTTATCCAGTAGTTTGTCAGCAACTTGAGAATAGAGACTGTGTCTCAGTGGCCCAAAGTTTACCACCCCATCTAGCACATGGCAGGTACTCAAGTCCATTAGAAAGGTAGAAAGCAAGGAGGCCTGCCAGCTGTGTGGGAGAACTACCAGCACAATCTTGTCCAACCACAAATCCAAAAATTGTGAAGATTCTTGCACCCCCTTCACTGCCTAAATCTTCAGATGCTGGGCATAATCTGATCTTTTTTTTCTGATCAGTTCAGTATTACCATTATAGATATAATTTATGATCTTCTGGCACAATTATGTCCTTTAAGACTTCTGAAGTGTGTAAGGAGTAGTTTGCCTTTTTGTTGAATTTCCCCAGATTGTTGTGGCAGATTGTTGCAGCTGGGGTTGGGAATAATACTTCCCAGATAGTTGTCAGGGCTCTGGGGGATACCTAAAGATACTTAACAATTATCTGGAAAATTTTTGCAGTTAACTTTATCAGTCTCAGAGATGACCCAGGCAATTGGTATATATAGTACATAAGACCTTCTACTCTATTCCAAGCACTGAGTAAGATTTGCTAGGTAATTTATTTGCTCCACCTAATTTCAGAGCAGGGATTGACCTGCAAACAATCCAGTCAAACTGCTTCCTTTACAGGTAAGATAGTGGAGGCTCAGAGAAAGCTTGGCCCGAGGTCACACACTGTTAGCAGCCGGAATAGAGCTGGAATCTGGCTTTCCTGATTTCTTGTTTGCTTCTCTTTCTACCAAAAGCTATTTGGATATCACTCAACAGTCTACACAGTAATAATAATTTTGCACATTTCCATAGCACTTCATAGGTTTCAAATCACTGTCACCCACATTGCTTGATCCTGCCCATTGACAAGGGTCATAACAATCCTTACAGCCAGTGCTTACTGGTGACTTATCACAAATCAGTCACTAAGTGCTTTGCATTGTTTCATTAGGCCTCACAATAGCCCTATTACTGCTAGACTATTATTTTCACTCTTTTATTGACCAGGAGTGTAGGCTTCAGGAGGTTAAGTAACTTGCCCAAGGCCACACTGCTAGGAAATGGAGCTGTTTGGAAGCCTCCTAATTGCCCGATGCCAGCACGCTGACAACTATGTGGGTATCCAGCTGCCCACTGTGTCCCCCCCTCACAGACACCTTCTGGAGCAGACAAAGAAGGTATTGGATGGGACATTTTAAAGCCAGGCTATGCTTGTAGTTTTAAGCTTAATTTTATAGGTATTTTACAGTAGTTCAAGCTTGGAAAATAGATGAATTTCCTAAAGGAGAGAATATAGAGAAAGCAGCCTCCAGGGATGCCTGCAGATAAGAGACCAGAGTAGGAAGAGAACACATAATTAGGAGTCCTACCCTATTCCATAGAGCCATAAACTTGAAAAGTGGCTTCATTTAAATGTGAAGTACAGTGATAAGATTAAAACTGTGGTTATGTAGTTCGTACACAGCGTGGAGAATATAGCCAGTGATTCTGTAACATCTTCCTATGCTAACAGATAGTAACTGCACTAGTTAGGGTGAGGATTTAATAATTTGGGTAACTGGTGAACCACTGTGTTGTGTATTTGAAACTATTATAAGGTTGTTTATCAATGACACTTCAATTAAAAAAATAAAGTAGTTTGTACGCATACACACACACAAATGGTATTTTAAGGAAAGTGTGCTGGCTGGGTTGCTGGATACCAGTCATCACTTAAGCAGGTACTAGCAGGAATTTAGGCTGTATTCCTGGTACCCAGTGGCCCAACTAGAAGCAAATTAGCAAATTGGGCAATAGCTACCATGGTCCCCAAAACTGATCACTGGTATTTGAGGCAGGGATCTATTTTCCACCTTAAACCATCATTATGGAACTGGTTTACAAGTTCCTAAGCATTCTGGCAACTTTATGAAGCCCATCCAACCCCACCTCCCCCAGAGAGAACAAATTCTTCCCTTCCATATGCTCTCCCAAAGAACTTTGTAGAAACCCATATCCACTCACTAATCTCATTGTTCAAGTGGCATTTATCTGTTTATCTCTCGCAGCAGCTAAGCTATAAGCATTGTGGATGGTTCTAATGATAGTACTGTCAAGTGAAAAGAATTTGGGCCTTAGAATTATATGTACCTATGTTCCATTCCTGGTTTAGCTACTTACTGTGATCCTGGGAGAGTTATTTAACCTCTCTGAGCTTCTTTTTTCCTCATCTGTAAAACGAGCATAATAACACCCACCTCAGGTGGCAGTTGTAAGAATTAAACAAGGTTAAGTGAGTACATGGCAGCTCTGATTATAAAGATAATCCCCGCCCTTCAACCTGTCACCATCCAGCAGAGGGAGGCATACATAGGCATTAAAAACGCCTGTGATATGTCCTATGATGGAAGGCTGCAAACGGGGCTGTGAGAACACAGAGGAAGGTCAGTGGACCCAGCCCAAGCGCATCATTTCAGGGAAGCCTTCCAGGGGGGAAATAGGGAAGAAAGAGGAGGAATTCATCAGACAGCAGGCAGCGCTTAGGAACTTGTAAACCAGTTCCTGTGTGTCCCAGGTAAAGGAGTGTGTGAGAAAGAATGTGGCAGGTTCAAGGAGTTAGTTGTAAGTGGTCAGTTATGACTGAAGTTATGGTTTGAGCTGGAGAATGTCGAGAAATCAAGCTGGAGAAGCAGGTGGTATAGAAAGAGCATAGGT